AATTGTTTAATTGTTACTCGAGTATTTTCTGCAAGTTGGTCGTTGGCGACGAACTGTCCACAGGCTTGGAAATAACTGGCGAGCTGGCTGGTTTAAGAAAAAGGCCAAAGGTGAAGAACCATTTCAAACCATGCGATGTTGCAGTTTCCTTCTAGTTCCATACCACGTCTTTGCGAGATTGCAGAGGCACAGAGATACAGTATGTATGCTTGATAATACTTTTTGTAATTAAGTTGTCGTTTAATTTATAATATATTGGTATAATTTAAACATTATTTTTAAGAATAGTATAAATTAGTACGACGTATAAAAAAATATCATGTGAAGCAAATCCAGAAATGGTGGAGGGCATCTTTTTCTTCTTTTTCTTCTTTGCATGAGGATCCAACAGGGTAGGGGGCTTGAGGCTTACAAATATATTAAATTTATGTTAAACATCGCATCCGGAAATTTACATTCATTTGATGAAATTTCTACAAGCTTTCCGCAAATGGTTAAACATTTCGTTCGTCGTTACACGTCTTGTACCAGCGCTAGGAAACCACACAATTTCCCACTCTATTCTTGCTATGAAATTTGTCATGTAATGCATGCAACTTCTTGTATCTACACTACAACAAAAAATCTTATGTAGAGTCACTTTTGTAGAGGCGATTTTTAAATTGCCTCTAAAATCTGGAGCTCTATAGTCTAGAGATACTTTTTAGAGGCACTTTTAAAATCGCCTAAAATATTTTTACTCTAGAGACATTTTAGAGACAGTTTTAGCATATTTTGTTAAATTTATCTTGTAGAGACATCTTTTCGGCACTTTAAAATATGTCTCATATGTAAAGGCATTTTCTTAAGGCATTTAAACCTCTGTAGAGGCACTTTTCCGAATATTATTACATACTAAGTAACTAGATATAAGTAACACGAAGCACATATTTATAAGTAATTATATGAGGTTGAGATGGTTTGTGAATTGAAGATAAAAATAGTCAACTCAAGAGGTTATGTGTTCAAGGATTGATAAGGGATTATTTTTTCTCTTTTTTTCACATTGATTTGCTAAAGTTACCGCATAATTTAGTGTGTCTCTACAAAGTGCCTCTATTTTGTATAGAGACATTTTATAAAATGCCTTTTAGTTTATAGAGACAATTCACCAAAAGACACTTATAAGACATTCTTTAAAATGCCTCTATAATATTATAAAGGCATTTTAAAAATGCCTCTGCAATATTAGAAAAATGTCTCTACAAGCCATGTTTGTTGTAGTGCTAGTTCTTTTTGAAATGTGCAATTAATTTTAGGCAAGTAACAACCTTTGTAGGGGAACATGAATAATTTTCATTGTTATGTACGTTGGAGCATATGTAGTGCAAACAAAGAGTTCAAAAGTTCGAGGGCCATTCACAATGTACATGTGTGCAATATGCTCATGGTATTGAGTTGACAAATCACCAGTATAACGCAAACTATATTATGTTGCAAACTCAAAACGTCAATGCGGCAGCATGCAGTAACAGATAGCCTCCATGGGATGGCTTCATGGCAGCAGTTTTCTGCTTGCGCGTACTGCTAGATTGAAACACGAGGCTATCGTCAAAATCTTAGTCATCTGGACTGACTTCTCTATTTTTTATCAATGCATAATAAACTATTTGCATTGTGTGTCATATAGTTCCAAACAGGCTCCAACCTGCTTTGCGTGCTGCCGTGGCATGCCATGGTGACACCAATGCCTACATAAATTAAGAACAATTTTTTTACTTCTCTTTTTTAAATTATTTATTTAAAATTAAAAACTTCCTTGTCTCATCTCTCTCCTCTCTTTCTAAATTTTATATTTTGTATGCGACTGACATGTAGGTGTCATTGTGGCATGCCATGTCAGATTACGGAGCGGGTTGGAGCCCATTTGGATTTATATGACACCTATGAAAAGTTTAGGCACCTACGAATGTATTTTCGAGAGGGGAAAAGTACGAATTACCCCCCTAAACCATAAAACTGGATATCCTTCACCCCCAACTATGCAAACCGGACAAATAACCCCCCTAGCTCAATCCGCGGCGGTTTTGGTCCTCCATGGCAGTCCATTCAACAATTCTTTTAATAAAAAAATCTATGGGCCCTACATATCAGTTCCCCACTCCTCTCTATCTCTATACTCTATCCCCAATCTCTCCTTCTCAACCTTCTCCCTCCCCTCACCAGCTCACCAGCACGGCAGCATCGAGAATGGCTGCGGGCAGGCGAGGGTGGGGGCAAGCAGAGCTTGCTCGGGCACTGGTGGCGCTGGCTATGGCAGCGGAGGCGGAGGTCCCACAGGTGGCCGACAGAGGAGGAGGTAGCTCGAGCGGCCGATGGGGGAGGCGTGGCTCGTTCGGGCGGCAGACGGTGGCGTGCGGGGTCGGGCGGTGGGTGGGGGTGCGAGACAATGAGTGGGATCCAGTCAGTGGGCTCCGCACAGGGAAGGGGAAGAGGGCGGTTGCAGCAACGCCAGCGTGTCGGAGCTCCGCGCCACCGCAGCCGCCACGCTCCACATCCCATCGCTCTTGCCACCGCCGCCGCTGCCACCGGAGCCAGCTAAGTGCTGCCCATGACGAAGCCGGAGTTGTGGGCGGCCACAACAAGCATCTGCCCCCTTGACGCGTTGATGGTGAGACCTAGCGCAACCCTCCTGGCCTGAACCCCAGCGAGAACGTCCCCATGAACGCCGCCACTGCCCGCCACTTGAAGCCAGGCGACGACACGCAGAGGGAGAAGCCGAGGATGAGGAGAGACATTGCCATGTCGCGCCACACGCTCGTCGACCCGCCGCCGCCGCCCACCACCCGCCCCAGTGTGCTGCCGGGCGCGCCGACCGCCCGCCGCCACTCGACGTACCCGACGGCTAGAGAAGAGAGAGTGGAAGAGGGGAAGAGGAGGTGATAGTGTATATGGATTGGGTCGAGAGGGATAAAAAAGGGGTGCAAATATTGTTTTATGGGCCATCGCCGATGGTTACCAAATAATCACTAGACGGGTTCGTGCAGCGTAACGCTGCACGGTTAGAAATATGAATTGGTGATTATACTATTTTATTTTTTTATCATATTGATTTATCGCATATGTAATACATGTTACTTTATAGACTGAGACGTGTGACCGTACCGTAATTTTTATCTTCAATTCTTCAATTATGGATGTGTATCTCTTTAAATTTTCAGTCGTAATTTAAAACTAATCGACGCAACTATCAACATATACAGGAAGAAATTAGTCGGTAATTCAACCACCATTTCAACATGAGGTTGTACGCGTGTAAGAATACATAGCTCTGAGACTTGGGCTATACCGCTATAGCATGCATTTTATAGACACGTAATCACTAGTGGAACAATAGCCCCGGTTCAAATAGGAACCGGGATTAAAGATTATTTTTAGTCCCGGTTAAAAAACCCAAGGGAACTTTTTGATCTTTATAACCGGAACTAAAGATCATTTTTAGTTCCAGTTTAAAAAGTCATCCGTCCCCACTATCTTTAGTCCGGTTTAAAGATATATATTTAGTCCCGGTTGTTTATACCAACTGGGACCACAATTGAAAAAAAATACAGCCGCACACCTTCACTCTCGAGACACTATCTTCTCGTCCACCGCGCATGTCTTATCCCTTCGCCTCTTCTTATCCCTTCACATGCTCTCCCTCCCCTCCAGACTCATCTCCCCTCTCCTCTCGATTTCTTCTCCTCTTCACGGCCTTCTCTCTTGGTGGCAGGTGGTGGCGGGCGGTGGTGCATGGCAGAACGCCATGAAGGCTGTGGAGGGTGGCGGCAGGCGGAGGGGAGGATAGCGGCAGGCGGCGGGTGGGCGGGCGGGCGGAGGGGTGGGCGACGATGGCCCGGAGGGGTCGGCGGCGGATCTGTGTTGTGTTAATTTTTTGTTGTGTAAATGCGTGGTGTTGTTTATGATTATTTTTTGTGAATTTGTGGATGATTAATTTTATTGTTGAGTATGTGAATTTGTGATATCAAAGATTGTGAATGTTTATTTGATTTGTGAATTTAGCGTTGATCTGTGAATGTGAATGTTTATTTGATTTGTGATTTTGACGCGAAATTAATATGCAAACAAAAAACAAATGAAAAAAAAAGAAAACAAATTGGTGAAAGTTACACCCCGGTTATTTCACCCGGGACTAAAGATAGCTATAAATAGTTTCGGATTCGTAGTCCTGGTTATATAACCGAGACACTACAGGCCGTGAACCGGGGTTAAAAACCATTTCTCCAGCAGTGAACAGAAAAACTGGAAAAGGAAAACAGAACAAATATGCATGCGTACGTACCGATTCTCTTAGGAATCCTAAGGAAATGATTTAACTTATATAATACCTGGTATATTGAAACTATATATACAACAGTACGATGGCAAGGGGTTAACCATAGGATTCAGATTTCAGAATTAACATTCCAATAACTGAGACACTCATAACTAGTCATCTCTGCTGCCACCACTACCTTTTTCTATAGTTGAGCCGTCTTATTTTATGATGGGAGAAAAGTTTACTCCTCCGGTTACGACACGATTTTAAAATATATCTTTTTGACTATATTATTTTTCTACTATAATATATGCAAGAATATATATATATATATATATATATATATATATATATATATATATATATATATTCTTTTATTATACTCCCTCAGTCCTAAAATATAACAACTTTTAGCCTCAAGATTTATCCAAAATATAACCACTTCTCCACCAACATTCTCTTCCCAACCAATCAGAACTCTTCATCATTCAATTTTCCCACCTACCACCATTAGTCCTTAACCAATCACAACCCTCAACCATTCACTTCTACCTACTTTCTTAATAACCGTGTCCACCTCTAAAAATACTTATATTCTGGAGTAGTACTTTATAAGATAAATAGCTAGTGTATTTAAATTAAATATTTTTAGGTTATTGATAGTTAAAATTATAAAAATTTAACCTCATTCAAAAGTCAAAACTTTTGAACAGGAGTGAGTACATGTTTTTTAATAATGGTTTACAGGGTTTCACTACAAGAGACGGTTACAGGATGAAAAGTTACATCTTCCAAACGAAAAGCTATTCTGTAAAGTCGTTTTGGAGCGCTAATCTACTTTTATTGTAGTCTTCTACGATTAAATAGGTGACATTATATTCTCTAGCTACTCCTACCAAGTTGCAGCTTTTGCATGCTGTTCAAGAGATAAAAAAAGATTTTGTGTAAGCAACAATGTGCTAACAAATAATTGACTTTTTGGCATAAAGGGATAGAACAGGAAAGCACAAATAATATTCTACCTTGTCTGTACTGTTGTAAATTTTGGGAAAATCACGGTGAAAAGAATGCAAAAAGAGAAAAAGAAAATAAACTATGATGAGCTTTTGGGGAAACTGGTGTGTTTTCAAATTTAATCAAAGCGAATCAAACCAATATAACCGCATTTGGCAAAGATACTTTAAAAATGTTATCCAAGATTTTACCACCTAAAAGCAAGAATGCATAGCATGCTAAACCAATATGGTTGTTATCTCTACAAAGATAGAAAGATAGAAAGTTTCATTCGCGCTCGCGCCACCACATATTAAGCTCGGGTTCTACGCCGATGCGCTAGGGCCACAGTTTCACCCACAACAGGACCCACCAGCCATAGCCGGTCTGTCATCATGGAGGCCAACGCTTCGGCGGACAGTGACGATCGACATGTCTGGCTGAAGATCTCCAACCAGGAGTCCACCATGAGCATGTTTCGCTCACACAAGCAGAGGCACCTCGATTGACTATCAACCTTCGCACGCATGCCGAGCGCCTCAGGTGCACAAGTACAACCTGGCCTGTTAGACGTATACGCGGGGAGCATCGACCATCGCGCAGACACCGGATACGTCACCTGAATAAATATCCAACCGGTTACCCAACAAGAAGGAAATTAGAAAGAAAATCCAGATAACACGCGGCAAGCAACGGAGTGAATAGAAAAAAATTCAAAAAATCAGAAAAATGGGAACCTGATCGGAGACTACTAGGTAAGTATGAGTTCCGTAATCAAACGCAACCATTTGATGGTAAAGTGGAACATAGGACCGCCCCTCAAGCGCCCAGCAGTAGTTCAAACCTTGCTAAGTTGGAAGGCAGAAATTTCACAATGAGAAAAATCAAATGATCAGCCAAGCAAAGGTACTGACAAAAAGAAGAAAACTAAAAGAAAGAGGGGAAATGATGGTGAGAGTTCACAAACAAGTAGTTCTGGAGGAAATAGTCCCAAGGATCCTATGGACTGGTGGAAGAAGAAAAGCATTTTCTTCAAATTGCAATATTGGGAGCACTTGTCTTTGCGCCATAATCTTGATGTAATGCATATAGAAAAAAATGTGTGTGATAACCTTGTTTGTACTCTGTTAAATGATGCCAAGTTAAAGGATAATCTCGAAGCACGTCTTGACTTGGTAGACCTAGGCATACATCAAGAACTTCATCCAAAACTGGAAGAAGATAGTCGTTATATAGTACCACTGGCTTGCTTCACAATGTCTAGAGAGAATAAGGAAACTTTATGTTCAGTTATTCAGAGCATCAAGTTGCCTTATGGCTATGCATCAAACATAGCAAGGTCTGTTGATATGAAAAGCTGCAAATTCATTGGTCTGAAAAGTCATGATTGCCATATTTTAATAGAGCACCTTCTACCGATTGCACTGTGAAATTGCTATCCTAACAAAGATATCATGTCAATTGTTGAGGAGCTATCCAATTTCTTCAAATCATTGTGCTCTAAGGTGCTAGACATATCTGAACTTGCCAGCCTTAAAGAACAAGTTCTGATGACACTGTAAAATGGAGAAGTTATTTATTCCTTCCTTTTTCACTATCATGGTTCATTTAATTGTGCACCTGGTTGATGAATCTAAATTAGGAGGTCCTGTAAACTATAGATGGATGTACCCTTTTGAGAGGTAATTAAATATGCTCATTCTATTTGTTCCATTAAAATTTACATATTCTATAGTAATTGATTTGATCATGATATCAAACTTCAGATATTTTGTTCGGTTGAAGAGCTATGCGCGTAATCGTGCACATCCCGAAGGGTCTATAGCAGAGCGGAAGAATGTTTAACATTCTGTGCAAGATTTCTCAAAGGGGTTGATAAATCTAGTCTTTCCATGCCCACAAATTCTGAACAAAAAAGTATTTGTTTGATAGCTTTGGGGAAACAATAGGCTCTGCTCAAGATGTGAAGTTTGATGCAAAAACACTTACTCAGGCCCATCGTTATGTCTTACGACATCTTGATGAAATAGAGGATTTTCGTAGGTATAGTACCTAACTGAACATTACCTTTAAAAAATAAAATTTATAAAATAATATAAATATGCTATTTGTAGAGAATTTCTAGAGGAGGAGAAGAGAAAACAAAAGAAGTCAGTTTTCACTTCTTTTGAATCTGACAAGTTGATTAATGAGCGATTCCATGATTGGCTATACCACAAGGTTAGTATAAGTTAGGCAAAACAAGTCAGATCATGCATGTACTTATGTTTTGTAAAATTAATATGCCTAATGTTTAAAACCCATGTTTTTATTGGTTATGCTTAATGCTTGTGGTCCTGATCCACGCATCACGGAAAATATCATAAAAATAGCTGAAAAACCGTGTAACTATGGAAGGAGATTTGGTAGATTCTTAATTAATGGGTTTAAATTCCATACTATTTCTCGTGAGAATAATCTGCAAACTTAAAACAGTCGTGTTGTTAATATATCTGAAGGTGATGCCATCAGCTATTATGGCCGTATTACAGACATTATAGAGCTGAACTATAATGGAGCATTTAAGGTCTTCTTATTTAAGTGTGATTGGTATGATGTGCACCATCGCGTGGGTACGAGGGAAGATGAGTTTGGTTTTACTCTTTTGAATTTTTCGTGGGGTATACACATTGGAAATAAGCTGATGGACGATCCATTTATTTTCTCTTCACAAGCTGAACAAGTATTCTATGTCCAAGATTTGTTTGACATGGGAAAGGTTGGAGATGAAGATGATGAGATATGAGTTGTACATGATATATTTTGTTGCATTTATTTGCTGAAGGCATTAGAGTTTTAGTTATTTACATTCAAATATATTTTTAATGTATTTGTTTGTTCAATTGATTGGTAATTTCTATAAGACACTTCCATTTAGTAACTGGAGATATGGAGATGTGTGATCTAGAGCTATGTGTGGTCTCATTTTGTCATTTTAACTGGTATGCAATGGTTATCTTGTTACTTATATATTTAAAATTCTAATCCATTTTTAAATATAGTGTGAATGGCTGCGAGGTCCCAGACACTACAGGGCTTGGATATTTTGCAGAATGGAGTGCAAAATCAAGAAATAGATATACCAAGGAATGATCAGTATGTTGAAGAACAGAACATATCAAATGAGAATTGGCGCACAAACTGCTATGAGTATCGTAAGATATATTGTTTATTTTTCTGCAAAATTGTTTCTTATATACTAACTTTTAAAACTTTGTAGATCCTGATGGACGTATTAAAAGATGTCGGGGACCAACAAAATTGGCAAATGTTTAAAATCTTCCAGCTGGAGTTAAGATTATTGTCAAACTGGACCGTTTCAATGCACCTTGCTGACAATCTTCTGCAGTTCTTGGATCCTATTTAGGAACATTAGAAGCCACATCTAGCTCCACTGAATATTCTAAAATGGAATGAAAATTTTTTTAAAAGAATATATCATCAAAAAATGATTACTGAAGTTGAGGTATTTATGTTTAGTTTACCATGTTTTTAAAATCATACTGTTATGGTGATCCTAGTATTATTCCATTGGCTCTTTTTTTTATACATTAGAGAAAGTTTGCAATTGATGGGAGAGCTAAGAGTTGGCTTCTCCATCAGTTAGATGGTAAATGGAGGCAATACAAGGGAAAACTGAAAGGAAAATATTACAAGCCTAACTTACCTATGGAATGAGTATTGCAAACAGTGCCCAACACTGTTGATGAATCTCAATGGCCTACACTAGTTTCCTACTGGTACTCAAAGGACTCTAAGGTAAATATATGTTGGGACTTTTTAGTGAGTGGCTGTTATTTTGAATTATCTCAGCTCATTTAAATGATGATATATGTTGTATTGTTAGAAAATCAGTGACAGAAACCAAGAGAATGCACTCAAGCATCCACACACTTTAGGAAGAAAGAGTTTTACAAGAAAGAGAAAAGAACTGGTAAGTCATTTAGCACTTTTATTTGTTAATTCATTCTTCTATTTCCTTATGCGTTTGAGATTTATAACTATAGGAAGTTAATGAGGTGGAGGTGGACCGAGAAACCTTCTTTGATGAATGCCATAAGACAAAAGACGGTAGATATGTTACTGATGCTACTCAAGAAAAAATGGTACTAACAGGTATCCCAATAGTACATATTCCACGGCGCAAGCAGTTTAACTGATTTGACAATTGTTGTGGCAGTCTGCCAACAAATTGCTATCTATTGATATGCCATGTCACGTCATTATGCAAACATCTAAAAATTCTCACCATTGGAATGGCGTTATGAGCAATGATCGTCGTACTCCTTCGCTGTCCTGTCACTTTATTTCAGATACTTGTAACCTGTATAATCTAACGCCGAGAAGGACGACGGTCGCCCAGGTGAAGACCAGCGTCCCAAGGGCGTTGCCTAACCTCTCAGTCATCGCAACCAAGTGAACGAAGCGATTCAGCTGCTTCTCTGGCACGACCATCTTGTTGCCGCCGCCTTCGAATTCGCCCTGTACGTCGTCGTCTACCACTCGAATCCGGGCGTTCTGCTGCTCGCCATGTCTACGGCTATAGTCACATGTCTTCCCTGCTTCTGCTAATTGGCAGTAGAAATCGTCGACAATCTATTATGTATATGATGCGTAACTAATTCAAATTTTCCCTTTAATATATGACACCGTTGACTTTTTATCCAACGTTTGATCATTCGTCTTATTTAAAAAATTTATATAATTATCATTTATTTTATTGTGATTTGATTCATCATCAAATGTTCTTTAAGTATGACATAAATATTTTTCATATTTGCACAAAAGTTTTGAATAAAACGAATGGTCAAACGTTGGTCGAAAAGTCAACAGCGTCATATATTAAAATACGGAGGGAGTACTATTCATGTTCTTTCTCGAGATACAAAAGTATTGGACAATAATACTGTAGTGACAGCAGTTAGACCTGCGTGGTTAACATGTCTTGGAGACTAGCTTTATAAACACAAATTACATGTATGTGCAAGGAAAACCTGTGCCATTTTTTCCTGACTCATGTAGTAGGACATGAAGCCTCATGCTCTTACGTGCAATTGAGCTAAACCATAAATGGGGATTTAAATAGTGCTGAGTCATAGAGAAACATATACTCAATTTGAAAGTGCTGATGAATATGGCTGGAACCACACAAAAGCTTAAGTGCCTATAGCAGTTTGCTTGCTACTAGCGCCGTTCTCTACGATCCTTAAAATATCATACACTTTGTGCACAATCCTATATTTCCAAAACTTGTGTAGAATTAGGACCCATCAGGATTGGGGTGGCTCCAGATATCCATTCCACTCGAACGGTCACACAGGGATCGCTGGAAAAAATGGCACGATGTTGAGAACACCTAATCATGTTGGTATGGTAGGAAAATGATGTTCGAAGAAGATGATGAAACAGAAGATGACTGACCATAGCGAAACACATCAATCGATCGGCACTCATCATCTGGAAGACGCGGCGCGGTGACAACCAGAATCGTAGCATTGATCATGCTCAGACCATTAAACGATTATACACCGTGGGGTCACCATACAGCTATGCAAGAGATGATCAATTGGATTTAAACCATGAAATTTCATATGGCAGTAGAACAATGATTTTGAAGGAGCAAACTATATAAGATTACTCCACGATCGAGTACAAAACCGTGGTGAGAGCGTTGAAGAGCAAAGCAAGCTACTTTTGTGAAGAGATTAATTAATGTTGAGAAGAGTTAGTTGCATTTTCATATACTACTATTTTAGTCGCTCAATCGCTGAAGACGTTGTGCCATTGAGACATTATCACATCGTTCCACATGTTGTCGTTTGGTAATTTGATCAGTACAACTTTACCAATTGTGTATAAAAGAATGGCATTCCAATTTTTGAACCCACTATTTTTTTTATGTAATCATGTCACACGAATGTAAAATGGCCTACATTTATACTTCCTCCGTTTAACAATATATAAGTCAGTATAACATTTCCCACATTTATATTGGTGCTAATGAATTGAGATAGATATATATGTCTAGATTCATTAGCACCAATATAAATGTGGAAAATGCTAGAATGACTTACATTGTGAAACGGAGAGAGTAACTGGTATATATGTAATAATTAAGATACGTGACCATATATAAACTACGTAAACAAACAGCCAACTTCACAAATAGCTCGAGGGCCTTCTACACATAAGCACTTCACTCTTGTCACACAAAACATGCAACGCTAGGAGCATCCTCATGTACATCCATCTTTATTTCCTTAGACAATTCGCAACTTACTAGCTTAGGATTGGGAAGTCTCTAGAATTTTCATATATATACCTGCACAGAATATGCCACAGAGCTGCAATTTCATCATGAGAAGCAAATCATCAATGTCACTATCCAAGAGTGGTTGACCATCAATTACTCCCACAGATGGAGGAAAGTGAGTAGTATCTTGTGGTTTTGGAGCAAACACTACAAACTGGCCATTGGTCAGTTTTTCATCAAAATGAATGTTCACCATCAAAATGGATAGCCTGAAACGAGTGCAGTCCTTAAGAGCTGGTTTGGTTTGAGGCCTAAATTAGTCTTACCAATATTTGGCAATTTCAATAGTGTTTAGTGTCTATTTGGTTTGAAGCCAAATTTCGGCATGCCTAAGAAAATAGGCCATTTCAATAGTGAACTTAGGCTATTTTGACTTCAATCCAAACACAACTTTGCCTTATCAAAATTAGTCAATGCCAAAACTTACCAAAATTTGGCGCTGACAAAATTTGGTAAAGTCTATTTAGGCTACAAATTAAACCAAACCAATCCTAAGTTACAGTCACCACTGTGGCTAGCTGCATGTTTGGAGAGAAAAAAATTAAATTTTTTTCCTCTCCAAACAAAATGGCACGCCCAGTGGGACATGGTTCTCCTCCCATCTTTGCTGCGCACAAATGGTCGTCGAATTCTTCTTCGCTTTCTTCTCCGACAAACATGATGGTTGATGAAGACCTTTGGTTAGAGCTATTTGTTTTTCTTCTTATGGAACTGCTTCCATCAAGAAAGGGGAATCCAGTGAAGACAACCTGGTTGCACTTGTTTGTGATTTTGAATGCAGCTCATGGAAGTGCTCAAGTTATCAACAAGCTCAATTGGGGGCAATCGAGGAATTTCTTACAAATATTTCTTCTTTTGGGAAGTGAGAGTTTCTAGCCCAATGGAGCTAACAACCACGGTGTGGACACTAGCATTTTCTAGCTGCAAAGCTGGTCATGGTGATTGCTGGTGATGTTAATTTGGAGTCATCAATTTGGGCTCATGTCAGTAGCGAATATACTGCCATAGTGCTACAGTTTCATTTCACCGGTTCTCCTCCCATCTTTGATACACAGAAATGACCGTTGAGTTGTCCTTGGTGTTCTTTCTCCAACACACATGATGGTTGATGAAATGCTCTGGTTAAGAGTTACTTTCTTCTATAATGATAACAACCCGGTGGCACTTGCGATTTCGAAAGCAGCCTCATAGGTTGTGAAGTGCTCAAGAAATCGAGAATTCAAGATGCTCAACCGGGGCAAGCGAATTCGTACTTAAATTTGTGCCGGGGAGCATGTCAAAATTCTCTGAACTTACTACCATGACATGAACACCGGAGTATTTAGTTGGACAACTGGCCATGCATATATCGATAAAGCCATGCATGCAGCTGGCTGTGAACCATCTCATCTCCACTGTAAAAGGGAGGCCATCTCACTATACAGAGAGGGCAGAGGTAGAACACAGTGGCAAGAGAACTGATCCATCTACTCATCCATAGCTGGTGCGCTTGCACATCACCGGCGCCCGGCCCTGCAGGGAGGTAGAGGCCAAAGGAGGAGAAAGCCATCTGCGGCGAACGCGCACACGCCGGTGGCTAGTAGACCATCAACTTTGGCATTCATATACAACCAACACATCCATCCATCTATTCCTATCCAGCCGCACCAACAATACACACCGACCGACGGCGGAGCAACAACATGTACACAGCCGGAGCACATCGGCCATGGAGAGCGACCTCGGCCGAAGCAACCGCGTCCGGCAGGAGGATGAGCGCCCTGACCATCAGCAAGCACGAAAGTGAGATCAATGGCTGCACAGGGTAAAGCTAATTAAGATTGTTTCCTCCTCCTTTTATCCATGGCACACATACATGCATAGGCCGATCTATATACACACACCGTTGTTGCCGGAGGAGTCGCCGTGGACGATTCATCTACACGCCACAGAATGTCGTCATGCCGCCCATCCGAGTCGTCGAGATGCTACTCGTCCTTGGAGTCGACATCGCCCGTTCAAGTCCTTGGCGACGTCATCGAGAGGCCAGACGTCCTCGCTATGGTGAGGCGAACTTGCCACGTTGGAGTTGTCGTCGTGCTGCTCGTCAGGGGAACCTGCCCTTCGTCACATCGGAGTTTTTTTTTTCTCCCCATCATGTCAAGAGCGAAGCTATCTGTCCATGATGCTCGCTCTCTCCATTGTCGCTACCCTGCTGTACTACGTCGAGGGTCGTTGGAGCCGATGTGGACGTCACCGAGCTGCTTGCATCCACAATACATGAGACCTTATTGCCATTGTCGAGCGGATGAGGCACTGTCGACCGATCATCATCCGTAGGAGGAGGATGTCGTTACGCCGCCCTACCGGAGCAGCTGCAGATGTCGCCAAGCCATCTCCCTCCTCGTAGCTATGTTGTCCACAGCACCGTGGTCACCGAGTCCGCCGCTAACAAGCGGACCTCGATCTTCTTGCCGTGGCTAGCCCACGGACATCACAATGTCGCTTGCAACAAGCCTCTAGGATGCATATATATATAGCATCGGCAGTGTTCAACTCGACATGTCTGAGTCCACTGCTACATCGTCAAGGCCAACTTGCTTCTTTCATCTCCACTGAACAGAGACCCTCAATGGTCATGCCACCGCTGACATCCATGTTCGCCCCCACGGTGTGCAATCCTCACACTCCTGTTGTTGCAGGTTTATTAATTAGCTACTGCTAGCATCAACCTCATACTCGAGATAGTGCCTCACTTTGATCACTTAGCATGCCACTGCCCACACATGTGCTGCTGCCAACAGCTCACGGAAGCCGTTGGTGATGCTCACAAATTAATCACCACCAAAATCGTCCTCACAGCCAGCATCATTTATATATGCACCAAGGCATCGACATCTTGGCTGCTGCCTGTGATATACTCAAGCGTCTCACCGCTGTCAGCGCCGTCACCACACTTGAGCCATTGCTGGTATTCACA